ACACTGCATTGGCGGGGACAGCAAGTAGGAGAACGAAAACGAAAGAAGAAAAGCAACAAGCAAAGTTGGGGGCCACTGTGTCGTGGGCGCGCAGCACACATCCCACCGCCACACTCCACCTTCTCTCTCTCTCTCTGTGAAAACAAAGGAGAAAAGGTGGAGGAAGCCAAAAAACAAAGGAGGGAAAGAAAAGCGGGGTAGTAATAACAATGCCTACTGAACTCTTCCCATCTCCGTAAGGAGCCCGCGCCTGCAATTCCTCCTTGTGTGCCAAAGAGGCGCCGACAGACACACACCGCGACAAGCTCACATGGGGAGAGCGCGTGTGCGAGTGTGTGTGCGTCCTACGGGAAAATAATAACGAGGTTCAAAACCGCACAAAAAAAAGCAGTTTTTTTTTGATGTTATTTTGCTTTTCATTCTAGAAATACTTCCCTCGTTTTCCTCTTCCATTCCCATACCCAAGTCATACCTACAAACACATACGCGCGTACATACTGCTGTATGTATGTATGCATGTGTGTGTGTGTGTGTGTGGTTATGCTATATATAATGGAAGGAGCACACATTCCCTATCTGCAAACACCACTTCTTTTCACTTTCGGCTTCTGTGTGCCTGCTCCAACTATACTTATCCTGGCACTCCCTTCATATATATATACGTATCTCTCCCTCTCCCACTCACACAGACACACACAGGCATATATATATATATACGCGACTGGAATTCCTATCAGTACCGAGCGAATAAAAACAAAAACAAGAAAACAAGAAACAAAAAAAAATAGTGCGAAGACTATACGAACAATAAATGATGTTCTTCTAATGCTCGCTCCTACTACGCTTCCGCTTCAACGCCGGCAGCGTCCAGTTTCTCCTTGATGTCGTTCATGAACGGCATGATACGTTCGCGTTGGATGCGGAGGTTCGCGACCGCCTCCTCACCCTCCATGACAGTGCCGTCATCCTCCCACAGGTCCGTGCTGTCCTCAACGTACTGGTGCTTTGTGCTATAGCGGTTGAACACAAAAAGCCTGATCGCAAGGGCCTCGAGTGCGATGAGAAAAAGGGTGCCCTTGAGCAGAGCCTTCATCGTTTCACCACTGATTCCAACCTCGCCGGGCGAGGGGTAGAAATACGTGCGAGCGCCCAGCACGCGCGGGCGCACACCCGCAGCTGCAATAACGCGGCGAAACATCTTCTTGTGACTTTGCTGAACTTATTCCTCTGCTCGAATCAAATACGTATGCGTACGTGTGCGTGTGTCTGTGTGTGTAACTTTCAGTGCCACAAACACGTCACTTTGCTTCTTCTTTTTTTTTCCTTTCCTGGTGATTATCTGCGCAGCCTAGCTACTCACTACCTGCATGAGAAAGGTAAAAAAGCAACAGAGGCAAAAGTTAGACAAGTTAAGGGGCCTACTTCTTGTTTTGCGTTTTTTTTTACTTGCGTTGGTTTCTGGCTTTGCTGGGAATCTCCCATCTGCCAACGCCCCGCCAAGGCGGATGCACATGCACCGCGTCAGCCTCTGCAGAGACGCCTCTGCACTCAGTTAATTTCCTTTTAATCGACCCCGTCACTTCCCGGTACCACGTAGGCATCGACGATATCGTCAAGGAACGGCAACACGTGTCCTTGGACAAATTCCGCGGTTGCATCGTTTACTTTCTTGCCCGCTACCGTCGCCTGCAGGTGCTTCTTCGCATTTACCTCCTCGAGAAACTCCATTCCCGCCTCCGAGCGCAGCATCTCCGCCAAGACCTCCGCCAGCATCATCTCCACCTCCGCCACCCGCTCCCCACCGTCGCAGAGTCGCTCCACGCAGACCCGCAGGGCATTCCCCCTCAATATTGTCGCGTGGTGCTCCTTCTGAAAGCTGCAATTGCGGTAACACTGCGCCGCCAAGAGACGATGCCGCGCACTCGATGAACTGAGGCAATCCGTTAGGGTCCTGTCCCAGTCCTCATCCTCCATAAGGAGTTCCTGGCCGTCGTTGGAGCGAGTCAGGTTGAGCAAAATCTGCAAAATCCACTTCTGCAGATCCCGCGTGGGCAGCATGTCTGCTCCTGCTGCCGTTGCTTCCTCTCCCACGCCTCTGCCTTCGCTACCGTCATCAACGGCGTCGTCGTCTCCCTCCCCTGTCGCTGCATTGCTGACAAAACGGTTGTAGTACACATGCAGCTTGCCAAGGTAAAACCCGCGGAGGTCCTCGTCGTCGGTTTGCAGCAGATCATCCACCGCGGAGATGTGGCTGGCCGTCAAGTTGCTGAGCAGCATTAGCGTCATCTCCTCCAGACTCCTCTTGAGCGAATCGGCATGGTCAGAGGCCTCAATGCCGTCCAGCAACCGCATTGCCTTGCGCACAACTCTGCGGGAGACAAGCATCTCGGCACAGCGGCTCTCCACCGAGCAGTTAATAAGAATCGTGAGGATGTCGCCCAGCACGTGAACACCGCCGGCGTGAAGGAACTGCAGAAGTGCGTCAAAGCAGCGGGGCCCATGCGTGGGCGAGGAGAGAAAGGCCAAGAGCGCGGGGTTGTCTTTGCTCTGCTGGGCGATGCCCCTCACCGCCATCTTTCGCACATCCTCGCGATCGCTGAGGAGGAAGTCGAACACCTCCGCAAAGTCGTCGTGGGCCATAGCGCGTTTGGCCTGACACTGGCACGGTTTCCCTAACGCGACCGCAACCTCACGCACGGCAAAAGATGGTTCCCGGGCAACGGCCAAAAAGGGAGAAAAAGATAGAACTAGGCCAAAGCAAGAAATCAACAACAACAATAAAAAAAAAGATTTACCGCAGAATAAGAAAGAAAAAAACACACACACACAACTCAACGAGATGAGGGGCGCGGGGAGGAAAGAAAGGGGAAAGCAAACACACCGCGAAAAACGCGGCGAAGAACAAGGGAAAGAAGTTTGTGTGTGTGTGTGTGTGTGTGTGTGTGGTGGACGACATATATACTA